GCTATATTTTTGTTTTAAATACCAAGATCTCTAGTAATTAAAGCTTCCTTTTGTATACAACTTTAAGGAAACAATATTATTTTATTTGTATTTGTTTATTATGTACACTTTTCTCACTGTTCATCTATATATACTAGAGGCCCAATGCACGAAATTCGTGTAAGAGTAGGCCTCTGCAGCCCTGGCTGCCTCAGCCCTCACAGCCTCATGGCCCAGCGGCCCCGCCCACTGCCCGTTCTGAAGGGTCGTTCTGTCTGGTCTAATTAGCATATTAACGTTTTATTATATAGATAAAAGCCTAAGCGACCGGCCAACCGGTAGCTATGATGCACACTGACCACCAAGGGGCATATGCTCAACGTGGAAAAGGCATGGAAACATGGAACAGACTGATGAATCTCAGAGGGAAAGGGCGAGGGGGGAGGGCAGGAAGAGATTAACCAAAGATCCTATATGCATACTAGAGGCCTGGTGCTTAGATTTGTGCACCAGTGCAGTCCTTCGGCCTGGCCTGCGGGGATCAGGCCAAAACCGGTTCTCCAACATCCCTTGAGGGGTCCCAAATTGCAAGAGGGTACAGGCCAGGCCAAGGGAATCCACCAGTGCACAGGGCCTCTAGTCTTATATAATTGCTCTGATTTAAAAAAAATGTTTTTATTGATTTCATAGAGGAAGGGAGAAAGAGAAATAGAAACATCAGTGATCGGCTTCCTCTTGCATGCCCCCTACTGGGGATCGAGCCTGCAACCCTGGCATGTGCCCCAACAGGGAATCAAACTGCGACCTCCTGGTTCATAGGTTGATGCTCAACCACTGAGCCACACTGGCCAGGCTGATTTTTAAAAGAAATATATTGTTATAGGTAAAGCCCCCTTCTTTCTTTGTATTCTCACAGTTAAGCACTATACTGAGTTTGCTGTTTATGAATGTTTTCATACTTTTCTACATACATATGCACAATAAACATATGGTACTGTTTGCCTATTTTAAACTATATAAAAACTATATATAATGTAAGTATGGTCTGTATCTTGCTTTTAAATTCAATACTACACTTCTGGGATTATCCTTATTGATGCATATAGCTCTAGTTCATTTGAAATGTACAGTATTTCACTGTATGAATAAATCACGCTTTCCCATTCGCCTGTTGATTGATGCTGTTTTATAAACGGTGCTGCAGAGAACAGCCCTATGCATTTCTCTTCATGTACACGGGCAGGAGTTTTTCTAGAACCGGGAGAATTGCAGGGTCATTAACACATGATTTTTTAATAGATTCTAAAACAAATCCGGTTCAAGAAGAGGTAATGAAGATATAACTGTGCTTGAGTGAGGCTTAGAAAATTTCCCCAAACACTAGTTATGTGCTAACTTAGTGATCTAAAATCATGAGTAGGACTGCCTTAGTTTATAAGGAATGGCGCTGATATATAAAGTCTAGGCCTTTTATAGAAATTACTTGTAAATTAAATTTTAAAAATACCTAAGAGTTTTGAAACACAGTTAGATGATATAGCTGACTTCATTCCCCAGAGTAAAGGAAGATTTCTGAACTTCCAGTTTCATTATAGTGGGAAAGTGATGATTAAGAAGCTTCTTAATAAACAGTTAACTCTGGGAATGGATGTACACATGGGATCAACCAGCACCCACTTATTCTCTCCTGATACAGATATTTGTCTCTACATGATTTATAACCAAGCATTTAATCATAATTTATCCTTGAAGATGGAGGTGCTGATTTATGGTTGTGTTTCATGAATAATAAAAAAGAACATTAATCCCTGAACAAAACAACTTACAGCGTCACAGCTTTCATTTAAATTATATAGTTTTAATTAAATTTTTTGAGGCAAATTAAACATTTACACCAAGGTATCTATATTACGAGAAGAGAAAGTAATAGAGTTAATGATTCTTTGCCTAATTTTCGGAAGTAAAAACTTACCATACTATTCCTTGAGCTCCTGAGCCTATAGGTTTTAAATTCTGATATCGTTTCAGGACTGTGAATGTAGAATCTCCAATCTCTACACTATAAAAATTGCTGTCACGCTTACTTCTGCTCATGATGGCAAGCGATTAACGTAATGGCTTCATCCAAAAATTCACCAAGAAGCTGCAAAACGGAACAAAATATATTAACAAAATGAATTCATGCAATCTTAAAATTCAAGTTCTCACTCGTTCACTAAAGGTAACATTAACTGCTAGATCATGTTAAATGGGCTACTTCTTTAAAGAAAAACATTTAGAAAGAAAAAATATCACAGAGCCTGGTTAGCATCTGCTATACTTAAGGAAATAACTGATAATTGGAAAAAAAAAACCCACAAAATTTTTACTAAAATAAACAGTATCTCCAATCTAGAAATCATTGGTATTAATATGCAAACTAGTACATGTCTTAACTTACTGGAAAACTGGAAAAAGAAAGTATATTATAAGTAGATATATTTTCAAGGCCACTTCCACAGTATACAATTTGAAAACAGTCCTTTTTTATAAATATATCTTTATTGATTTTGGAGAGAAAAGGAGAGGGAAAGTGAGAGAGAAACACCAATGATGACAGAGAATCACTGACTGCCTGCATCCTGCACATCCTCTAATGGGAATCAAGCCCTCAACCCAGGCATGTGTTCTTGACCAGAATCAAACCTGGGACCCTTCAGTCCGCAGGCTGACGACGCGCCATCCACTGAGCCAAACCAGTTAGGGCTGAAACCAGTCCTTTTTATGTGTTTGTTATAGAGTACTGAAACCTTAATTTTTGTGAGAAATTGAGAAACTTTCGTTCGAAAATAATTCACAATCTCATTTAGTGTCACCTGGGAGGATGACAGATGCCCGCCCATGCTAGTAAGCTGGTTAGCACGTCTCACCCTGCCTAACACAGAGCAGCACAGCGCTGTCCCCACAAGAGCCTGTCCCCACAACATCCGGTAGTGACACATGCGAAGTTGTAATGGTTGAAAGAATGGTTGAAAGAGGTAGAAAAATAAGATATAAGATAATATTACTTTAAAAATGAGAAAATAAGAGAGAGAGAGAGAAGCATCTAGTATATTAGGGTACAAAACAAAACAATACTGTTCTGAACCGTTTGGGGCATCAAAAGCATGACCTAAGTTCTGGCCACAGCTCTTTCTCTCTACCTGATTAAAAGCCAAGGCAGTCCCTCTCTACCCATTTGAGTATTGGTTATTAATAAGCCTATTTTCCATCCTTACTGGATGAAAGTGGCCTAAAACAAAAGGCATGCAGCAAGTCAGCTCCAACCTATTCCCCACGTACCACAATAAACCAAGGAATCAGTTAGGTCTACAGAATCACTGTGTGTGTGTGTGTGTGGGGGGGGGGGGGGGGTAAAGGGGGAGTTGTAAAACAATGCTAACAAAAGAAAAATAACGTCCTGATAAGACTTACAAGACAAAGAATTAATTCAACAAATATGAAGTGCCTACCATATGCTAGGCACTTAGCACTGTGCTGTGCCTACCATGTGGAGGCTCATGAATTAAATGGATTCTAATAGCTGAATACTGAGAGAAGGAGGAAGCCGCTGGAAGGTGGGAGTAAGAGAGTTGGAAGAGGGAAACTAGTGATCTATTGCAATAATCCAGATGATAGAGAATTTTACAATTAGTGAGGATTCTTAGATGTGATGGAATTAAAAAAACCCAAAAAACACTAAACAAAAAAGTCCAAAAAATATAGGCTTAAAAAAAAAAGACAAATTGCAAGCAACTGAAGAGTTGGATAAATTAAAGAAAGACCCAGAGAAACATTTCCATAATCAATAACTAAACTAGTCATGTAATACTCGAGAGGACTGCCTGGAATGGCAACACTCATAAATTCTGCCTAAGTAGGCAGACCAGAGGCTTAAAGGAAAGAGTTGGTAATGATTTCAACACTATGTTCACAGATGACCCAATATGGGTACTGGTCATCCAGACCAACTTCCATCTTAATTTGGATTCTCTCCTTACCTACCAGAAGGGAAATAGGGAGGAAGGCAGAAGTGAGAAGAGGAATGCAGGAAAGTGTCAGGCCCTTCATCAAATATTCTCCATATTTATCCTGGAAACTGAGCTGCCTTTGGCTCGGAGACAACTATAATGGTCCCCAGTGATCTACACATGAGCTCCAAGGCCGAGCCCAGAGCAGCTGATGATGTGTGAACCTCAAGTAGCCAGACCGTGTGCAGATCAGATTTTCTAAGCTCCATGGAAGACATGACCCCTTCTCCTTAGGGAGAGAGGATCAGAGAGAAGGAGGTACTCTTGGTGCCTCACCAGTTTACTTACTGTTACCAGAGCAGGGAATAAAAAGGCTGTGTTTCAGATTCTAACTTGCTGGAAATAAAGAAAAAGCATAGAGCCAGGATCATCTGCAGGACAGGTCTCCCTGTCTGTTAAAAGAGTAACAATAGCAAGGAGAGGCTTCTTTCTCAGAAGAGGCGTCTCAGAAAAGGGTGGTCCGACATCAGGAGTGGGGTCCATGGTGCTCACACAGAAGTCTGGACAGACCTGTCACAGCAGCTGAGCAGTGACAGCCACCAGACCCTCCAGGCACAGTGCAGCAGCAGATGGAGGACCAGGTTAGGGAGCAGCCTGCCCAGGAGCCACAGCTGCCACTCAGGACAGGAGACAGAGCACGTGACTCACTCAAGCCCAGGTGTAGAATGCTTACTGGGTGCCTGAGTCAAGCTCTGGGCTGGTACTGTGAACACAGCAGTAATCCGCATCTGCCCTCCAGACCATGCAGTTAGACAAAGAGAGACATTCGGTTGTGTAGTAACCGTCTGGCTGAAACTATGGCGTGAAAACAGCAATGAAGGCAATGGAAGCAAGCCCACACTAGTCTGGTCTCAGGAAAAGATTCATTCCCCTAATGAGGTAATGTTTGAGCAAGATCTGAACACTGAGTATGAGGTAACCAGGCAGGGAGAGAGAAGGGAGCTTTCTAGGCAGAAGAAAAAGCACATGCAGAGGCTGTAAAAATTCACCCACTTTCACAGTGCAATGGATGAGTTTTGATAAATGTGTACAACCCTGTAACCACCATCAAAATCATGACATAGAATATCTCTATTACTGCAAAAGCTTCCCTGTTGGTCAATCCCTGCCTTTTATTCCTACCCCATCCCTGGCAACCAATCAGTAGCTTAGCTGTGCCTTTTCCAGATCTTGATACAAGCGAACATCACACAGCATGATTTTTTGTCTGGCTTCTCACTTGCCCAGATGTGTTTCAGAGACACCTATGCTGTACTTCTTTGTATTACTGAGTGGCATTCCATTGTGAAGACATACCATTTGGACACATGGACTGTTTCCATACATACATATATATGACACAGCTAATTAATTCTCTTGCCCATATTGTCTTCTTGTTGTTCAATTATAATATTTATATATCCTGGATATACATCCTTTATCAGATGTTTTGCAAGTATTTTCTTCCAGTCTATGTGGCCTGCCTTTCCATTTTGTTAACAGCGTACTTTTAAAACTTTTTAGTTGGAATAATTTCAGACTCATGTACAGGTTGCAAAAATAGTTCTGGGTATTCTTCACCCAATGACAGCATTTGACATAACAATTGTACCATTATCAAAATGAGAAAGTCTGCACTGGTACAATACTATAAGCAAACTTTATTCAGATTTTATGCATACATTGATTTTCTGTAAATTTATCACATACACATATTAATGGGAACTACATCTCAGCCAGGATACAGAAGTCACCCCAAAGAGAGTCCTTCATGCTACCTCTCTATAATCATATACTGCTGCCAATTATGTTTTCATCACTATAATTTGTTTCAATTAAAATTTTATGTAAACAGAATCACATAATATGTAATCTTTTGAGACTGCCTTTTTCACTCAGTATAATGCCATTGAGATTCTCCAGACTGGTGGGATATTGATAGTTTGTTCTTTTTCTTACAGAATATTATTCTGTTGTATGAATGTAGCTTTGTTATTAATTCACCCCTTGTTTTGCCCATTACAAATAAAGCTATTTACTATGAACCTGCCTACAGATTTTTCTGTGAAAATAAGCTTTCATTTCTTTAGGGTAAATGTCCAGGAGAAGGATATGGCAGCTGCACGTTTAACATTATAAGAAACTGGCAAACTTTTCCTAAAGTGGCTGTTACAACTTTGCATGCCCACCGAAATGCATGGAAGATCTAGTTCCTCCACATCCTATCAACTCTTATTTAAGACAGTGTAGTTTATTTTAGCAATTCTAACAGGTTTTGGATAGACAGATAGATAAATGGATTATACAACTATCTCATCAGGACTTTAGCTTTTTATTTCTCTAATGGATAATAACATTGAACATCTCCTTATGTACCTTTCCCAGCTGTATGTATATTTTTGGTGAAGTGTCTGTTCAAGTGTTTTGCCCATTTTCTAATTGGGTTGCTTGATTTCCTATTGTTAAGTGTAGAGAGTTTTTTTTTTTTAATGTTCTGGACATATTCTTTTATCAGACACACAATTTGCAAATAACATTTGGCCCCTAAACAACATGGGTTTGAACTGTGCATGTTTCCTTACATGTGGATTTATTTTCAATAAATACCTATATTGTTTTGGATCAGAGGTTACATGGTCCTGGATACCAAAACAAAGACGTTTTCGGGGAGTCAACAGTTATATGCACCAGCCCTGGCCAGGTGGCTCAGTTGGTTGGAGCAGTGTCCCATATACCAAAAGGTTGCAGGTTGGAGTCCTGGTCAGGGAGTATATGGGCAAGGATTAAAAAAAGTTATATGCTCCCAACCCCCACGTTATTCAAGATCAAATGTATTTTCTCTCTATTTGTGGTTTCTCTTTTCTTTAAAAATTTTTTTCAATTACAGTTTACATTCAATATTATTTTATATTAGTTTTGGATATACAGCATTATGATTAGATAGTTATATATTACAAAGTGATCCCCCCAATATGTCTACTACCTACCTGGCACCATACATTACATTATTAACTATATTTGCAAAGTTGCACTTTATTTACATTCTTGTAACTATTTTGTAACTACCAGTTTGTACTTTTTAATACCTTCCCCATTTCACCCAGTCCCCCAACAC